CCAATCGAATACCACGGCCGAATGTATTTTAAAGGCAAAAATCTAACTTTGCTAGATATTGAGAGGACCATTTACACCGTAAAACTTTATGGACTACCTCCAAAAGACGATTTTTACCTTTGTTGAAACGTCTCACTAATGGCGTCTAACGTCTCTCTGTGTTGTTATTTGTGCGTTCTAATCTTCGCCGTTCAAACATTTACTGTCCTTAGATTTTGCCGTTCAAGCAGCAGCATGCTTTCTAGCTTATAGTAAAGTCATCCGAATTATCTGACTATCAATTATTCCACGTCCGTCACTGTTTCTACTGTTGGCTTTCATTGAATTTTACTTAGGAATAGCCTCTGTGAAACACTGCCAGTAGCAAAAATGTTTTCTTCACCTAAATGAAGAATATTTCACACAGTAATGTTCAGAAACTTCAAAATGGCAGTCATTTAGCTCTCTTTTTTCGAAAACGTACTTTTCTTTTCGGTCGAAAATCCCACTAATTTGTTTTTATTCGACAGTAGATGAAGAACTCAATTAGCAAAATGAACACATTTCTCCACCACTCCTCCTTCAAGTGTGAGTGCTAATTGATCCCGAAAACGCAGGGCGATGAAGACTTCCGTCTGCAAACAAATCTAGAACGTATAAGCGATAAATTTGGATTGGGCCGTTAAATAGTAAGGAAAGTGAGGTCTCTATTGCACATTGCAATATCATCCCTTCAACCGAGTAAAATAAGCTGAATAATTCTTCTGCACAGCGCATTCATGCAGACTGAATATACTGCTTGTTTCTGAATTCGTAACTTCTCGATTCTGATTAACCTTGACTTAAAATATACAAGCCAGGTTTGAATAAATTGTTTCCAACTGCACTGTGACACGTGGGCACTTCCACTAACATGCCATTATCAGCTTCACCTAACAAAAGTCATTCGCAGGTAATAAGAAAATTCGATGATTACTACAGCCCATGATATCAGACGAAATGTGCTGCTTTAAATTTCAGTCATCAGGCTATAACTCAGATTTTTATCATAATATGTTTAACTGTTACCGTTCAGTTGAACGGGACTCATTTTGTCATTGAACAACTGTTCTTGGTATTTTATCATTTAAATAACATTCTTCATTTGCTATCATTTTCGAAATTCATTTTCATTCATGGCACTGAAATTTAAGTTATGCACCTCCTCAACAGAACAAAAATTTAAGAGCAATACACAAGAAGCCACGTTTTTTGAAGAGGTGGATAATTTCTGTACCGCTTTAATAAGTTTTGCGAAAATACTTTCAGATCTTCATACATTATCTACTTAATAAAATTGTAGAACGTTTTTCAAATACTAAATGCCCTCTATCTTAAGTACATTAATGAGAGAATGTTCGTTTGAGACTGAGTTATGCATAGTGCATTAAATATTTGTCGCATAACCGTGAAGTCTATAGATAAACGTAATTATGTACATGATAGAAAATGCTGTAATTGTTTATCGATAGTCGTCAGCTTCTGAAAGTAAGACAACCTTTTCTTTTGTTTGAACTAATAACGGAACCAGTGATGCATAAGTGCTCATAATTTGAAATGCAAACAATCGATGTAAAGTCAGTTTGCCGTGCAAAAAATTCAAATGACATTTACATACTAATGTTCGCTTCAAGCTAAATCCAAGACAGAACTGCCAGCCAGTTTTCCAACCATATTTAAATCATCCTCTTCCCTCGAACTACGGTAAATCAGTTTTTTGTTCGTTTGTTTCCTACTAGCTGCGGCTTACAAACCCGTTAAATCCATGTAGAACAACATTTAATCTCCATAATTTTTCTTTCCACGTATCCTTATTTATCAATTTAAACCTGTGAAAAATCTATTTTATACCGCTTAGCATTTTCTGCTTCAATTTCATTAAAATTGTACAGCAGGATAACTTGGACAGTTGTAATCCTGAAATATCTTCAGATTTTTACAAAACGCGGCATTTTACGCCACGATGTCACTCTGACTCTTTATTTTTGTCTGCAAGATTAATTACCGCATTGCTACCGCACTGTAAATAAGTGATACAGATGATTTTTTAAACGGATGGCGGTTCTTTGGCACTTTAATACTGGATATATAGATGCATCTCACATTCTGCAATTCAAGAAAACATGTTTTCTAATGCTTAGATTATGACAGTGGCCCTTCTGTAACTGCTTTGACACCATTTACGTCTGAGACCGATGTTCAGGCAATTTTGATGAAAATATTTTTATTTTACAATGCACACGTGAAGGGCTCATAACAATTGATGAACAGTGTTTCGTGCATTGCTAAACATTTAACAAAAGAATATTAATTAACCTGATAATTGTTAATGTTTGAATGTAAACTGCATTCCTCGCAGACAGAATTTTGTGAATTTCCACCGCTTATTTCTAAGTAATCAGTTGTGTTTATCGATAACTTTAGCTTCTCAAAGGAACCCGGTTGCTCTGCAGCAATCACTCGAATTAACTCCGCTTTAACGCAATGCATCAACGAGAAAACAAGAGGAAAGATGCCAAAGTTCTTCACTCAAATTACAAAGGATTTCGCCAGAGGTGAAATGGAACAAGCATTCAAAAAATGCCACGCTGCAGCTGGAGTGCCCTATCCTACTAGTAAAATGGAAAGTATCAAAAGGATGATTAGGTACGCTGTTATTGTTACTCAGTACATCGACTAAACCATTTCCTTTTATAGAGGCATTGCGGTAGACATGGCGAAGCGTCGCGGAACGCCTGATTCTGTAACCAAATTAATGCATGTGATGAACAACGTCGTACAAGACATGACCAGCCAATGGATCGCTTCTTATTCTCCTGCTTGTATTCGAGGCTAAGAATTGCAATTTTCATGCAAAAAGCGCCATGACACTCAAGGCGTCCCAGCATTACTTTGTGAATCCAATGGCCTAGTTTGTTCTAAATATCTTACTGAATAAAGTTTTGTATATCCACTATTGTATATCCACCACCATATAGTTTTTCCTTGAAGGAGCATCGCCAATTTCCAATCTCCAAATTACAAATTAAAGCCAAACCGATAGATTAAGTCCACTTTTTTAGGAATCAAATTACTATTCACAATTTAATACCTTCTCATTAGTTTTATACCTTCTCATTAGGCATAACACAGTCCATGTTACATATCTCCCATTCAATATATCCGGAATTTCTAACTTAATCATTTATTTGACCTCTTGCCAGAAACACAACTGTGCGACTGTCTTCACCCAGCCACGTAACTTGTTCCCATGACGCAATGAGAATGTAGCAGCCCTTGCGCCCTCGCTTATGTGAAAAATGAAAATTGATTGCTACGTGGCTTGATTACGGATAGTACCATTGTCCTTATATAGAAAATGAACTATGCCAATAAACGGTGCCTGGCCGACCGTACTGTATTCACGAAGGCTATACATCTTCGACTTGCACGTGCATTCAGAAGAGCTATAGGCAGAACAGAGAGCTTTGGATGGAGGGGAGAAATCAAAAAGATCAATAAGGCAACCAGAAAGGGTGAGTGGCGAATAGTTTTCAAGGGATGATAGAGTTGCCTGATAAGAAAGGGACTCGGTTCTCCTTATCCACAACGCTAAGGGTACTCTATTTATCGGCCAGGAGCGCATCAATAAGTGGGTTGAGCATTTCCAGTAGCTGCTCAAAAACTTTCCTCTGGATTCGTTATTTCCAATCGTTAATCGTCTGCTAACATTAGAGGTTATTATAAATCCACCCATAGAACTACAAATCAGAAAAGCTCTTCCACATCTCGATGTCAAGAAGACTCCTGCAGTGGATTGAATTCTCCCGTAGTTAAGTACAATCGGGAACGGTAGAAACATTCAGTGCCTATTTCATTTAATGTGCACCTCAAAACGTTTGCTTGAAGAACAGAAGTTTGAAGTAATTGTCTTCATATTCAAAGGGGTTTACGTGACCGACTGTTCCAATTATCATGATATCACATTCCGGGGAAAATCTGCTTCTGGAATATCCTGGAAAGTTTGAGGCAAGCGGAGTACGGTAAGTCAACTACTCTCCGGGTGGAGCACGCCTGCCCCAACTGAATTTTCACTCGGTCGACGACTCCACCTTAGTCCAGTTTTCCAGACTCCAGTTTGTAGTTTTCCTCGACTTTGAGGCAGCATCAAATGAAGTGAAAAGTCTCAAAATGCGGCAAGGTGCTTGAACACATCGTTTCTAATATGGAAGACATACGTTCAGGAAACTATCTGCTTTCAAAATTGAACGAAAACTATCTGAGTTGTTCTCCTGTAACTGCTCATTTCGCTAGAGAGATGTGCTGTGCTTTGGCCCTTGTTATTCAATACTTCTCACGACCTTTTTCACCAAAACATTGCTAAACCTAGTAAAGACCAAGATCTCATTCAAAAAGGAATGAGCAGTTCAAGATATCCGCCTTGATATCTGACTGTCCTGGAGTATGCAGATTTTATCGCCCTGGCGAGTAGTAGGGAAAGTGATGTATTTCTGATGAACTTTTGTTTGCGATACATTTGAGAAAGCCAGATTCTTCCTTAACGCTCAGAAGTCAAACTTTTTGAAGAATCCTCATCTACAAGCATATCAAGGAAGTGATGCGCTTCAAGAGGTCTTTGTTTCTAAGTATCTCGGCTCCATCATTTAAAAAAATGGCGTCATTCGATTTAGGTTAAATAAAAGGATCGTTCTAACCTTGAATGCATTTCGTAGGCTGACCATATGTCGGCTGAGGAATAGCTTTTTCAAAAAATCAACCCGCGCCTTCTGTCAATCAGGTCAGTGCTTAATCATGGAGACAGTTGTATTGACGAAGGACCTAGAACAACGACTAAGCCGCGCGCAGCAGCGCTGACCTTGACACATACATGAAGTAAGTGAGAGAATCGCATTAGGAACAACTCTGTTTTCTTTCAGACGAAGTGGCGTCAATAGATGAGGAGGCTAAAAAAAGATTTGCCCTATTTACAAAACTGGTTAAACGTAAACAATTTACTCCGGTTCATAAGCATCTCGCGTGAAAGCCGTAGCACGGCAAACGTTGACAAGGATGCGACCATGCAGCATGGAGGAATAAGGTACGGCAGATCCGCTCTCACAGGAAAATATTTTCTCCTGCTATGCTCTTACCATTGCCTCGTAGCAAAGACGTTGTAAATCATAGAAAATAAAACAAACGTCTCAACCCAGAAACATTATGCAAATCGCTCAAAGTGATTATTTCAACGAAAACACTGTGTATTTAAAATCGCAACTTAAATTTTGCCCCGCTTAACCGGGGATTCATGTGGCATTTGTCTGAGACATTTGTACATTGATTCTTGAATTCTACAACATTTCGTTGATTCAGCAAATCCAGATCAAAATGAGCAGCTTCTCTTTCTTCTATTACTCTTTTAATTAGATGCTCAATTCCATCATGACCCGCTGAAGGACATGTCGCTGTTTGCTCCCAGTCATTTTGCAATTTTGTACTTCATCAAGATCAACTTAAGATTTAAGGAGTTAAATTGGTCAAAAGTCAACCCCTCGACTTTTGGTTCAGTCACTGCAGCCAATAATTCTTAACATTCTTAATCTGTCGCATCTTTGCATTAGAATTATGGCAATGACGGAGTTAAGGTCATTTGGTTGAGCTATCTGTTCGGTTACACCGTGGAAGCCGAGTTCTGTCATTAATTGCAAGTGGTAATCGTGGGACAACTAGTACACAAATATCAGTAACACCAGGCACCTGCAGGTAATCACAAGGTTGGCAATTGCTTGCAAATTTAATTTTCAGCAAATATTCTGCCCAATATTCTTAATTTATAATGCAGAACCTAAATTTTGGAATATTTTATTTCAGAGTGTCTGATCATGTGACAAATGGTTGTAAATTTTATAAGAACATGGTTTACTCAGGAACAACGCAAGCAATTTGACGGATCAGGTGAATAACCAATACCGATATTTTGGCTCATGTCTCACAGGCTCTCTTCAAGGTGAACAGAATTGATTTAGGAATTTCGCTTATTAGCCCGCAGCTGTTGTAAAGCTTAAAGCCAACAGGTGAGCTTTCAGCCCGTACTGCTGGCTAAGTAGTCTTTCGGCAACAGGCGCGATGAGTCTTTTTAAGTCCAAGAATTCGTATGCTTTGTTAATGTTGTCCCATGATTGGATGATCAACGCCTTTTTGACAAATCCAGTTTCTTTCTTTTATCACGTCTGTGTAATCTGTCTATTATTAAGCGTGACTTCCCTCTCCTGCGTGTTACACAATCACGGAGATCTTTAAGCACTGTTCTGTGACGCGGTTGGGACGAGGCTTTGCTTTCTTCAACGGTGCTTTATTACTGCATTTCGTTGGCGTTCCTTCTCGATAACCCATCTTCTCCAGCTTGACAGATGGGATTCTGCTCTTTGAGTAACGGTGTTCCTTTGTTTCCTGTGTAAACCCAGCCAAAAGGTAGTTATTCTTAGACTTTGTTAACAACGCATTAAGTTAATTGTAGCTTTAATAACTAGCGTTAACATACTTTGTATCAAGTAATCTTTCACTGAAACTTTTATTATACGGTAGAACTAAGAACGAGTTGTTATTTTAAGTGTTATCCTTTTCTTTAAAAAAATTCATTACTACAGAGTTTAACAGCTTTGTCTATTAGAACTATAATTACAGATCTTTTGTTATTTAAATGATATTATGAATT